TTTTTTTTTTTTAGGAAAGAAAAACAAATCAGAAATGTAGAAGAAGAAATTGAACAGGAAAAACAAGCAGCAGATGGCATCATAAAAAACATGTCCCCAGAAAAACAGGTGAAGTACACAGAGATGAAGACAGCAAATGAGAAATTGTTGCAGGTAATGATAATTTCTGCTATGACAATCATAGACACTCTTGCTACTGAAAATGTGGTCTGAAGATTGGCAGTGTTGGCACCCCTGAGGGCTGAAATGCTTCTACTAACTTCATTTTAGTGACTTATTTGTGCATTCATGCTTGAGAATCATTGATCTTAAGAATTCTACTTTCTTGTGTTGTTTAAACACCTACCTTTTATCATGTATCTTTTTTTTTGTTCAGTTCTATGTGCCATTCATTCGTCTATGTTATATCATTGAACGGTACTTAATCTGTAAGTAGTAAGTTTTGTGTTATTGTTGTTAAGTACCATCAAGTCAGAACTGACTCATAGCTGACCTTCCAGCAAGTTGTCAGAAGCAATAAAGTGCATGGGAGGAGATTCCTCATCCTTGTACGACAGAGCGTCTGGTGGATTTGAACTGTGTTCCTTTGGATTGGGAGCCTAACTCCTTAACACTAAGATACCAGAGCTCCCTAAGAGTTTTAGTGACTATGCAAAAGCTTTGACTGTGTGGATCACAACACACTATTGCCAACATTGAGAAGGATGGGAATCCTAGAACAATTAATGGTGCTTATATGAAATCTTTACCTAGACTAAGAAGTTGTTGTCCAAACAGAGCAAGGGGACACTGCATGATTTAAAATCAGGATGGGTGTGCATCAGGGTTGGATTCTGTCTCTTTATCTATTCAGTCAGTATGTTGAGCAAATAATTAATGAAGCCAGACTCTATGAAGAAGATTGTCGTATTAGGTTAGGAGGAAGACTCATCGACAACCTGCATTGTGCAGATGGCACAACTTTGCTTGCTGAAAGTGAGGAGGACCTAGAATGCTTGCTGCAGAAAATCAAAGACTATAGCCTTCAGTATGAATTACATCTCAGAATCAAGAAAACAAAGACCTTTACCACTAAGCCAGTAGGCAGTATTTTGATAGATGAAAGGATTAAAACTGTCAATTATTTCATCTTACTTGGACCCACAGTCAGCACTTGTGGTCCCAAGAGTAAGAAGATCAGGAGATGCATTGCTTTGGACGAGTCTGGTCAGGGACCTCTCAAGAGTAGTGATGTCAGTTTGAAGACTAAGATATATCTTATTCAGGCCATGGTCTCTTTAATCACTTGCTATGCATCTGAGAGCTGGATAATAAATGATGACAGAGGAATTGATGCTTTTGAGTTTTGATGTTAAAGTGCTGATTATCCTATGGTCTTCCAAAAGAATGAGCAGGCAGGTCCTGCAAAATGTGCAGCCTTCATTTCCTATACTTTGGATATGTTGTTAGGAGAGGTCCTTCCTTGGAAAGGGTATCATGTATGAAAAGGCGGAGAGTCAGTGAAAGAGAGAAAGAACAATGAGATGGGTTGTCACAGTGACTGTAGCAGTGGACTCAAGTGTATCAGGGCTGATGTAGATGGCACAGGATAGACAGGGTTCAGTCTGTTACTCCATAGGTAGGATTGCTATGAGTTGTACTCAACTCAACAGCACCTGACAACAACATAGTTAATCTTGACAGCGACTATGAATTCAGGTCAAGGGTCTTATTTTAGGAGTGAGCCATATAAACTGTACAGGTCTTGGTCGTAAAGAATTTAGACAAAACAGGGAGCTCTGGTGGCCTACTGGCAAGAAGCTGCACTGCAATCCCAGAGGTCTGTGGATGGAATCCACCAGATGCTCTGCTGGAAAAGGAGGGACAGCCTCCTCCGATTTGACGGTACACACACAAACACAAAAGAATAAATAAATTTTAAAAAAGGGAAAAAAGAATGTAAACAAAAGAAATAAAAGCGTGACTAAAAAATAAACAACAAACACAACCTAAAACATAATGATCCTATTAATTTAAAAGTTTCTGCTATTTAATGTTCTCAAAACAGTGATATTTCACTGTGAAAAGGCTTGCTATCTTTCACTGACCCATATATATATATTTTTTTTTCCTAAAGGCAGATCATGGCAGAGGTTTTATGAATAATAGAAAGATTATTAGAGAAAATAAAAATAGTAGGATGCTAAAAATTGCACTAAAAGTACAGAATTAGGGATATTTCTAAAATTTATTTTGTCATAGCCAAGCTTTTAATGTTGATGAACAGTAAATCAAATTTTCCTTGGTATAGTTTGCACTTATATTTGTGTTTTTCCCCTCTTAGGAGTTAGATACACTTCAACAACAGCTAGACTCACTGAACATGAAAAAAGAGAGCCTGGAAGCTGTAAGTATAAAGTCAAACGTTCCTTAGACTACAAATTTGATTAAATGTATTAATGGAACACATTTTTATTTAGTGGTTTACTAGCAGGAATTCAGTAATTTCTCCCACTGTTAGACACAAACATCCTAGTTGCGGAAGTAATTAGAATTATTAAATACTTCATTGTATGTGGTTAAAGACCCCTGGTGGCATTGTAGCTTAAGAATTAGACTGCTAACTGAAAGGTTGGTGGTTCTAACGCACTATATGCTTTGGGAGCACGAAAAGGCAGTCTGCTCCTATAAAGACTGACAGCTTTGGAAACAATGCTGCTCTGTCCTGTGGAGTCGCTGTGAGTCAGAAGTGACTTGAGTGTAGTGAATTTGTGGTTTTGTGTGTGTGTATGGTTGCTGTGAGTCGCAGGCGACTCGACGGCACATAACAACAACAACAACAACAACATGGTTAAATACTCAACTAGGAAGCAAGGGTTTTGAAGCTCTGTCTCATGGTTTTAAAGCTCTTTGGGCATGTTGCCAGGAAGGACCAGTCCTTGGAGAAGAACATCATGCTTGGAAGGTGGAGGGACAGTGGAGAGGAAGACCCCGGATGAGGTGGATTGATAATAACCACTGGGGTAATTGGGTTAGGTGTGTCGGAGTCAGTGAGACTGGCTCAGGATAGGGCAGAGTTTAGAGCTGCTGTTCATAGGGTTGTATGAGTTTCAGGTGACTCGATGGCACATAACAACAACACGCCTAACTAAAAGTTCTATATTTCATCCAGAAGCACCTCAAAAACCTCAAGAGTCTACCCCAGAATAATCTTTTGTTGAAAAATTTATAAAGAGCAGGTCCATGAGTCATAACTGACTCAACAGCCCTATTTTTTTTAATACAAAATAAAGGATTCTGAGTGGGGCTTATAAAATGAATGGTAGTTTAAAGGCACGTGCATAAAAGACTATAAAACTAAATGAAGAAGGAAAGAGACCAGTCAGTTCTATAACATTAAAGATGCAGATGCTTGTATTTGTTTTCCCATTTGTTAAAACATTGTTTAATTCATAAAAGAAAACATTTTATGAATGTTTGACTAAAATGAAATATAAAATACTCATTTCTTGTACCTCTCCAGACTACAGTATTCTGACATATATTGAATGTCTACAGTGCGCTTTAAAAATGCTCTAGATTTATCACCATCATAGTCACTTAATGCTGACAAACTACAATCCTATAATCTTGTCTTGGTTTCATAGTTGTGGGAAATTTCAATTGAGATTCATGCAGGCTATCCTGTGAACCATTTGTTCTTTTTTCATATCTAAAATAATATTTTGGATGTCAGTTCCCATGAGTATGATGGTGCATGACGGTAACACAGTGTATACATGAATAGATTGCTTAGCATTATTTTTTTTAAAAATCTGCGGTGTTTTTGGTTTCCAACTGTAGCATTGGATTTAGGTTTTGTACTGATACCTCTCTTCTTTGCCATTAACTTGATACAATGACATTAACACGCCTCAAATAATATGAATTTAAGAAAGTTTTATATTCTTTTCAAATCTTCAGTCTGTCCCCCAAACTTCTAACACAGACTGGTGAGCACATCCAGGGTTGTATCAGTTAGTTGAGATTAGTCAATTGGTATCCCATCCATTCCTGAGGCCTTATTGTTTACTAATGTCTTCAACACAGCTTGAATTTCTTCCTTTGTTACCATTGGCGCTTGTTGATATGATACTTCCTGTAATTTTTCAGTGTTGACCAGTTCTTTTTGTTACAATGATTCTGTGTATTCCTGCCATCTTCTTTTAATGCTTCCTGGATCATTCAGGACTTTTCCAATGGCATCTCTCAGTATTGTAACTAGAGGCTTGAATTAGTTTTCCAGTTCTTGCAGCTTGATAATGCCAAGCAAGTTCTGCCCTTTTTATTTTCTGGCTCCACTAATTTACACATTTTGTTGTAATAGTATTCACTTATTATTATTTGAATGTTATTAGTTCATCTTCTTGAGCTACCCTTTGAAGTCTTCAGTTCATTTATTTCAGAATTTCTTCCCTTTATTTTGGATTCTTGAAGCTCTACTACAATAGTTTTTTCTGACATCTATTTTTGTTTTTTCTTTCTCCTCTGTCTTTGTAGTGCCTATTTTGCTCTTCTCCTTTATTTCATCTCACAACTCCTCTGGTCTTTGGTCGTTGGTAATCAATGCCTCAAACCTCTTTTTACAATAAATTTTAAATTCAATTTGGTTAGATAAAAGAGTATAGGGTTTTATTATTACTCATCCAGTTTATGAATATGCTTTGAAGTGATGGATCCTCTCCTCCCATTCCGTTAACTTCCTCTGAAAACCTGGTAGAGGGTCAGCTATGGGTCGTTTCTAACACGATGGTACAACAACCACCAGGTTTAAAATTTGCCCTTATTCTTAGAACAGAAATATATTTGAGAGTAATTTTAAAATAAAATGCTCATTAAATTTTTCTTGATTCTGCCCCCCCCCACTTTTAGGAAATAGCACACTCCCAGGTAAAACAGGAGGCTGTACTACTGCATGAAAAACTTTATGAGTTAGAATCCCACCGAGAACAAATGATTGCAGAAGACAAGAGCATGGGATCGCCCATGGAAGAGAGAGAAAGATTACTTAAACAGGTAGGAAGAATGGCAGGATTTGGTAAATGTGTTGGCTTGTTTTACTTAAATAATACATATTGAATGCAAAAAATATTAAGTTTATAGTCTACCAAAAGACTCAGTAAAATGTTAGCTTCTTCCAATGGCCAAGAAAGAGTATGTAAAAGTCATTTTCTCATTAAAACCATTAACTTTTCTTTTGATTACATAGCAGGAGTGGCATCCACTTCCTAAACAACATGCCTCTGGAAATTCTGTGAACTTTGAGAAACGACAATAGTTATAGGAAGGCTTCAGTTCTTTTGTTTGTAGGGTCACTGTTAACTCAACAGCAGTCAACAACAACAACAACTCATTCATATTATCTTTGTGCATATTTTGGCCACTTTTCTTATGTTTTGGATCCTTGTTAGGAAAACCTGAAACTTATCTTTATTGAACATTAAATAATTAGATAATGTTATTAAAGATGTGAAGTATTATTTGTTTTGGTCCTTCTGTATTAAAATAGATATTTCTAGAAAGAAGTGCCCCAAATAGTGACATTTCTGGTTAATACTATCAGTATCTCTATGAAAGAAATGGAAATTTATGGTATCTGATAAATTTATGTCACATGTATTTAGTAGCTTAGCCCAAGACTATCTTTAATTTAGTTTTTAATTATAGTTAATCTCTTATTTATCATGAGACTCATGTGAAAGTTCCAGTTGCTGAAAAAAGTTAAAACAAGTCCACAAGGACCAAAATATGACCTTGAATCTATCCCACTTAAATTCAAAATAATTTCAAGAATAGCTTTGAGACATTGAACACTAATGACCAAAGACCAAATTTATTGTGTTATGATATCGAGGATATTATCCAGGAAGAGAACAAAAGGTAATTACATAGACAGAAGAGAAAAAAAACCCCACCAAAATAGATGTCAGGAAAGACTGAAAATTGCACTAGCGTGTCTAGAAGTCAAAACAAAGGGAAGATATATAGAAAGAAGTAAAAGAGATGGATAGAATATTTCAAAGTGCAGCTCTAGAAGACAAGGTCTTATGTAAAGTAAAAGACAAAGTAAAGTATTATGACAGAAAGTCCATAGAGCTACAGTTGGAAAATAAAAAGGGCTGAACTCACTTGGCTTTTGTCAAGCTGAAAAATTCAAGCCTTGAGTTGTAATACTGAGAATTAAAATGTGAAAAATCTTGAATGATCCAGGAAACATCCAAAGAAGATGGAAGGAATACACAGAGTCCATGTACAAAAAGAATTGGCTGACATGAAATATTTAATGAAGTTTTTATGTGCAAGAGCCAATGGTAATGAAGGAATAAGTTCAAGCTGCACCAAAGGCATTGTAAAAAAATAAACTTCAGAAATTGATAGGATACCAATTGACATGTTTCAGCTAACAAAGCAGGCCTGGCCACCCTCCCCAGTCTCTTCCAGGAAATTTGGAAGATACTACCTGGCCAATTGATTGGAGGAAATGTATATTTGTTCCCATTCCTAAAAAGAGATGTTCTAACAAAATGTCAAAATTATCAAACAGTGTCTTTACTTTCACGTGCAAACTAAATATTGCTGAAGAACATCTAAAAATAATTAGAACAGTATGTTGACAGAAATGCCAGAAGTTCAGGCTGGGTTTAGAAGAAGCTATAACACCAGCAGTATTGTTGCTAATGTCAAATGGATATTGCCTGAAAACAGAGAATACCATAATAATGTCTGCGTTTTATTGACTATTTAAGGTGTTTCACTGTGTAGATCATAACAAACTAAGGCTAACATTGAGGAGAATGGGAATCCTAGATCATGCTCATCCAAAACCTGCACCTATTGTATAAGAAACAATAGTAACATGAGGAAGACCAAGTCTGAATTCTACCCACTTCATAAAGGAGAACCGTCCTCATTGGTAATATCTATAGTACTAAACAAATAGCTACTTAGGCAGACATGCTACCCTACATGCTCCTGTACCTATTTTTACCAATTCTTGGGTCCAGTGTTCATTGCAACTTGACTCACAAACTCATAGTTGGGAGGGTTATTAGGGAAATAGATTGGAGAGTAGGGGAAGCTAAGAATATCACATAGTGCAAGTCCAGGTTTATTCTAGTAGTCCCAAGCCTAACAAGGCACAGTTCCTCAATTAGTGAAAGTCTATGTACAGTTTAGCAACACAAGTGCAGTTCTGGTTTCCTTAATCATCCAGCAAACTTTTTCTTAGAACAGTTACAAGTCAGCTTTTTCTTCAGTCATCCAGCAATCAAACCTTTAATTGTGGCTCCATCTCCAGGGTTCCTCTGGTTACACCTTGCCACTGTCTCTTCACAGTCTTTCATAGTCTCTTCACAGCAGTGCCACAGTCTCTTCACCCTCTCTTCACCACCATCTCTCACAGTGTGGAAGGTGCTCTCTTACATTAGTCCTACAGCTATTGATGATTTGCATTTCTAGTGTCCACAGGTAATGTAGCCAGAGACCATGCCTTCAACGGGGCCTAACACAATGGATAGAAAAGCCCATTTTCAAGGTTTCTGACACCATACCTACACTAAGAAGCTGATGTTTGAACAAAGCAGAGAAATACTACATGGTTTAAAATCAAGAAAGGTGTTTGTCAGGGCTATGTCCTTTCTCCATACCAATTCAATCTGTATGCTGAACAGATCATTCAAGAGCTGAACTTCATGGCAAAGAATATGACATCAGGATTGAAGAAAAACTCATCAACAACTTGGATTATGAAGCTGACACAGCATTGCTTGCTGAAAGTAAAGAAGACTGAAACACTTGCTCCAGAAGATCAAAGACCATAGCCTTCAATGTGGATTACATCTCAACATGAAGAAAACAATCCTCACCCATTGCACCAGTAAACAACATCACGACAGAGAGAGAAAAGATTGAAATTATCAACAGTTTAATCTTCCTGGGATACAGAGTCAATCCCTTGGTACCAGCAATCAAGAAAGCAAAGGATGTTTTACACTGGTAATATCTGCTGTCAGGGACCTCTTCAAAGTATCAAGAAGCAGAGTATCAACCAAGTGAGGCTGGTGGCAGATAAAAACACTAGTGATACTAGTGTAAATGTTACAGTGCACACCTGATTCAGGCCATGGTCTTTCCACTCGCTGTGCTTCCGAGAGTTGGCCATTGAATAAGGATGACAGAAGAAGAATTGATGCCTTTGAGTTATGGTGCTGGAGATGACTGCTCAATATTCCATGGACTGTCAAAATCCATAAGTTACTACAATATTTAGCACCTCTGCAATTCCTTAGTAAGATAACTTTTTTCTAAATTGTGAGAAAACTTAGATAGTAAAGAGTATTATAGAAAGAGCAAGGGCTGCATGGAGACAGACATACCTGCCCTTCATAAACTCTACAAGCGGGAACTATCCCCATCAAAAACATCCATATCACAAAACCAGTTCCTGTGTGGTCAGACATGCCCACCACACTCCCACACCTCCCTGTACTCATCCCAGCACCAACATTACTGCTCTGCTGGGTCTGAAATTCATTGTGATAGCTTGTAGACCAAATAGAGCCGTATTTGGGAGGTAAAAACTCAACAAGTGGGGTTGGTGACAGATACACACACTCAGGGCAGCTTCTGAAATGTACTCACAGGCACCTCAGCCTCACGGCTTTAGGCAAGTATTACAAAGCCTTTGCTGCTGCTGCTGTTGTTGTTTTGTTAAGTACCATCAAGTTGTTTGTGACTTATAGCAACCCTGTGTACAACCCCTCTGAACCCTGCTCTTTCTTTGTGCCAACCTTCTCGTCTCCAACACACTCCCCTCATTACCTCAGTCACTGAGTCAATCCATTTTATTCAGGGTCTTCCTCTCCTGTGCTGTCCCTCCACCCTCCTCAAGCATGATGTCCCCCTTCAAGGACTGGTCTCTCCTTGCATCATGACCAAAGTATATTAGATGGAGCTTTAGACTCCTTGCCTCCAAGGAGCAGCCTCACCAGGATGAACTTGTTTGTTTTCCTAGCATTCCATGGAATTCTCAATACTCTTCTCCAGCACCACAGTTCAAAGGCATCGATCGCTAGTCATTGTCTGGTTTTCTGATGCGTACCAAGTGATTGAAAAGACCATGGCCTGGATGAGATGCACCTTAATCTCCAGACTGACATTGTTGTTCTTGCTCTTCAGTACTCTGGAAACATCCCTGAAAGCAGATTTTCCCAGTGTATTTAATCTTATGGTTTCCTGGCTTCTGGTGCCAAGTGTGTTGATTATGGATCCAAGCAAGTCTCAATTTCTTTACCATCTATCATGATGCTTCCAATTGACCCAGTGGTGAGAATCTTGATATTGAGCTTCAATCCATATTGAAGGCTGCAGTCCTTGACCTTCTGCAGGAAACACTTCAGGTCCTCCTCACTTTTGGCAAGCAACGTTATGTCATCTGCATAACTCACGTTGTTGATACGTCTTCCTCCAATCCTGATGCGACATTCCTCCTCACAGAGCCCAGCCTCCTGGATGACCTCTTTCACATAGATTGAAAAGGTATGGAGATAGGATGCATCCCTTGTACTGGTTTCCTGATTGTGAACCATGCAGTATTTCCTTGTTGTGTTCTGAAGACTGCCACCTGGTTTAAGTATAGATTTCGCATAAGCACAATCAAGTGTTCTGAGATTCCCATTCTTCTCAGAGTCAGCTGCAGTTTGTTCTTAGTCAGACTAATGATGACTCTTTCCTATAGTCCTCAGAAAACCTTGTGCAAAATACTTTTAGGTCATATTCCATGGGGTGGCAGTCCTGAGCTCCTCTTCACTTCATCTCATGTCAGGTCTCTAGTTCTCTGCTGTAGCTGCGGTGGCTGCTGCTGCTTTAGATCTAACTGGAACAAGAATCTATGGCCTCAAAGGACACTCTGAACAAAAATAAAAAGGGCTCTCTGCATTCTCTTGCTTCTTTCTTGTTGGTAGTGAAGTTCTCAGAATCTGTCACTGAATCTGATCAGTTGTATAGTGAGACTAGCCAATCCCCTGTGGATAGGCTAACACACCCTATTCGCATATTCCGACCCATCCACATGGCAAAGTCAAAGTCGCCCATGTTGAACAGTAAACTGAACACTATACATATAAATATATATATCCACATTAGAATAATTGTTGACAAGTGACAGTTGGTCAGTTCTGTCTCACGGAGATCTCATGTACAACAGGAGGAAATGGCATTCGGTGCTGTGCCGTCCTCACAGCTGTTGCTGTATCTGCGCCCTTTATTGTCGCCATTGTGTCAGTCTGTGTAATTGAGGTGGCTGACCTGCTACCAAGCATGATGTCCTTCCCCAGGGACTGATAATGTGTCCAAAGTATGAGAGATAAAGTCTTACTGTCCTTCCTTCTCAGAGTTCTGGCTTACCTTTTTCCAAGAAAGATTTGTTTGTTCTTCCAAAGTCCATCATATATAAGAACAATTATATTCCACATAGTGCATGGAACATTTGTACACTGAAACCTACTCCTTGTTAATTTAAAATTCAGTTTGGCTAGACTTGATAAATCCTCTGTACTGTCTGTAATTTAATAATCAAAATATTAAATGTTTATACAAACTGATTGAGGCCTGAAGATGTGTTATCCCGATTGTGCTTTGTGGTGTTATCAGTTGCTACCTATCCTTTTGAAGGGATTGCGAACAAACTGTGAAAAGTCCCTTAACTGCTGGTCCTTTAACTTCAGATGATGAATTCTGAGAATTAAGTTGCAAGAAAGATATATTTCAAAAAAGATGTATATTTCAGTATGATAGACCTTAAAAGAAAATTCTCTTTAATTAAGCAATGAATTCATAATTAAATCATCAATAATTTTATTTTTCTTTCTAGGTTAAAGAAGATAATCAGGAAATAGCCAGCATGGAGAGACAGTAAGTACCTTATCCTTGGGCATTTTACATTCATTTCTCCTTTTAAATTACATTCTAAATGTACAGGAGATGCAAGTAGTATTTTTCTATATTTAACATGATAACATAGAAGAAACTTTCACTTCTACTTAAAGCTTTAAATATTTGAATGTTTATGTAAGAGTCAATATATTCGACAACTGTTGTTGTTATGTACCATCGAGTTGGAATTGACTCATAGCTAACCCTCCAGTGGCTTTTCAGAGACAGTAAATCACACAGAAGGAGAGAGCCCATCTTTCTCCCGTGGAGCAGATGGTGAACTCAAACCACATGACTTTGGGTTGACAGAGTAACTCCTTACTACCAAACCACCAGAGCCTGCTACATCTTAAAGCTGGTTTTATAAAAATAATTTTATTAAGATATAATTCACATACCATACAATTAGAAAATTTAAATTTACAGTTTAGAAATTTTTTAAAACTTTGGTTTTGGGAAAAGAATCTAATTAAAATATAATTCATGTATTGCACAGTTCAATGACATTTAGTATCTTCAAGAACATAGGTTATATTGTAGATATTTTGTGTTGTTTTATAACCATCATATTAATTTTTGACATTTTAATTATCCTGCAAGGAAATTTCAGTCATCACCTCAAAATCTCTCCTCTCACTCTTAGGAAACCATTATTATACTTCGGAGCTCTGGTGACTCAATTCTAAGGAGCTACACCAGCACTTCTGGTTATCTGTTTATTTCTGCTTTTTGAATTACAGCCATGCCAGTCAGTGTGAATGAATATCTCATTTTGGTTTTGTTTTGCATTTCTCTGATGGCAGGTGACTTTGAGGAGGTCTTGTTTCATGTGCTTATTAACTACTCATATGTCATCTTTGAAGAAATATGCAGATAGATTTACAGTAGCCAGTAAACCCCAAAACCTTAGTTGTTGAGGTTAAAGCTAAAACCTTTTGGGATCGGATTTCTCAATTTGGAGGTTTCAGGTCATGGTTTGATAACACATCTCAATTAATTGGTCTCTTAACAAACCTAGTGTTTCCGTCCTCTAGTTTATTGCTTGCTATTTGACTTCTTGAAGACTCACAAGTGATCATTGAGGAGTGATTTCTGTTCACTTGGAGCAAGAAAGAAAGAGAATCAGGAATTAGGAGGATGAAACAGAATGTGTGGCTAATCTCCATGAACAAGGTTTCTGACTACCATTACTGAACATTTTGATCAAAGATTTTGTAGAACAATCTTAATCAAAAGGGTGAGAATGTAAAACAAAATACCAAAATTCATGAACTTTCTGGAGTCAAGGACACTGGATGAACCTCTAAGACTCTCTCAATAATCTTTAAAATTGAAAATATCACCCAAGGTCTTTTAAAACCAGTCAGTTTATCTTAACTAGTTAAAAAATGTCTGCCTGGAACCCTTATTCACTGTTGGTGGGAGTGTAAAATGGTGCAACCACTGTGGAAAGCATTGTGGCGCTTTCTCAAAAAGTTGCAAATAAAGA